ATCTGAAACCTGGCAACCCCCGCCTCCTTCAACCTCAACGCCCTTTCAAGATACATGGGTATTTTGCTTCTGAACAACAACGTAAATGAAGAAACTTTATAACCATACCAATAACTTTATATGCCCCTAAATTGACGAGCTCTTGATTATACCGCGTCGTGACACATATCATAATACCCATGGAACGACTCACAGGAGCTTTTGTGGTCTAGATGTTAAGGTGTTCGCCTCTCATTCAAAGGTCCCGAGTTCGAATCCGGGTAGCGACAAAAAATATTTCTCCTCTAAAATTGTCTTCTTTCCCCTTCTTTCCTTCTCTCTAGCAATATTCTGTCTTTCGTCTCCACTTTCTTCCTCCACCCCCTCACCTCCTTTGACCCTCCGCTGGGCTTCTGACTCTTTATGCAGCCTTTCTACTGCTACTCTTTGGCTCCTTCTTACTGCAATCTTTCAGCCACACTCCTGATCTTCTTGTAGGAAAGATGTAGATCTACCCCTAGCTTTCTCGGACGATGGCGAAAAATCTCAGAGGTCCCGCGTTAAAGATCCCTTGGTGGTCCAAAATCGATAGGAGTAGGCTTTGACCGCCGTCCGGGCAAAACTCAAAGTTTCGTACAAATTGAAAGTTGTTCTTTGTAATCGTCAATTTTCACTCAGGTCGGTTAAAAAATTTCAATGAAGAAATTATAAAGGAAATGTATATATTTATGTTGTCATCTTGTACAGCTTTCCACCCACCACCCACTAACCCAGAATACCATCATCATCATCCGGTGCTTTGCCAAATGGCGTGGGCGATCATGGACCTCCACTTACCTCTGTCCTGCGTTGCAGCAACGGTGTCTGTTCTGCCGCAAGCTGACAAAACGCCTTTTTTAAAAATTCACAGCAGTTTCGAGAAAAATGCTGTTTTTTATTTGTCACCATAACAATTAAAATTTATATTCTTTAAATAGTGTTTTTCAGAAATTTGAATGCTAATTTATTCAAAAAACCAGTTACAGTTCCACTTTCATTTTTCACACAAGTAGAGTAACTGATCAGGCTTTCGATTCAGCAAACAAAATAATTGGTGTCAAAATGAAAAAAGGCGTTTTGTCCACTTACGGTAGTGTTGTTTTTGCTGTTCCCAGCCATGTTGTTAACTTGTCGAGTATCTTTTCCCTCTGTCTGCCTCTGCCTCTCTTTCCATCAAACTTGCCTGTTGTAACTCTCCAACACACACACACATACTCACACACACACGAACATGCACACACACACACACACACTCCCACACACACTCACTCTCACACACACACTCCCACACACACTCACACATATACACACACACACACACA